TTCTCCAATCCAAAAGTTATGCAGTTGGATTGGGTTGTATCAATCATTGGAACCTCTATTTCTCCAATTCATGTAATTGTATAACCTTGGGCTCCATTAACAAAAATATGACATGAAAGATTTGATGAAGATACTTCAAAGACTGAATCTCGTGCTTAGCACATGATAGTCAACTTCCTATTAAACAATGACTATATACTCTAATTTGCATTATCATTATCAAATTAGATGGATTGATAGTTAACGTTGCTTAAGCTTTGTCAATTTTATTAGAAACTGATCAACTAACTAAATAATGATAATCCGACTGTGTTAAATCATTGGGTTGGTGATTTCAAATTATCTCAATGATTTGAATCTTGATACGTATAAGGATAATTGGATTTTGCTATTGAATTAATTACTTGTCGTTTAAAAAAACAAGTAGAATTGATTGCCATATGTAAATTAATTCAATCAAAAAAAAACGAAATGAAAACTGAAAAATTTCAAGAACTTTTAAATAAATTTATTCAATTAAAGATCATCATTTAATCACTAATTCTTATTGGAATCTATCAGTACTTGATATTACAGAAACACCCTTTACAATCCTCCAGATGTTTCGTTTACCAAATCCAACACAAGGAACCACTTAATATTTCAATTGTAAATGCAGGGAATTAAAAACCAACCGTTTACTATTTCACCCGATTTAAAAAGAATTATCACCAATGATTCCACTAACTTCATATAGATCTCCATCTACATAATCCAGTCCAAGCACTCTCCCAATTAATTTAAATTGAATACCAAATCAATTCCAAAAAAAAAACTAGCTTTGAATTCCATATGATTGCTCCATTCAATTGCTCCATTCTTGAAAAGAATCTTTTAATTTTAGTGAGAACAACCCAAACAAACCAATTTAGTATATTGATGATTTCCTAAAGCCTAATATTTCAGTCGAAAAAAAGATATTGCTGATTCTCACTTCCAACGTTGCAGAGATCATATTATAAATGAGACACATTCAATATTGAAAGAAATGAATTAAATTAATCGAAACAATTTAATTCTTGATTTGCATTACAGTTTATTTCCAAACGACCATGTAATCGAATAGTGTATGCAACGGGGAAAAGACACCATTTCCAGTTGAAGTATGATTGAACCAAATGAGACTATAAACCAAGAGCTGATGGACTTCTCATAGTGCAAATAAAAACAAATATGGGAATATAAAGATAATATGTATAAGCAGATAATAATTACTTGAATTGGTCAGTACATTAGCAGGAGCCACCTCGACAAATCACAAAAAATCTTCAAGGTACCATAATCACTTGAAACGTACAATGAGAATGAGAGACTGTAGAACTTGATCAAAACGTATTGTGGTTGCAAACGTCACCAACATCTTGAAATGCCTTTTGTTCTAATAGAACTATTGACTAATTCAACAAATCAACTGGATATTAATTTTATTCTTTCAAGCAATGGACAATTGTCTTCAGATAAATAAGTGACCTGGTGGAATAATCGGTTGTGAAAGAACAAATCAGGTAATTATATGCACTATTTCCTAGCTTATCTTCGAAACCACCATCCACTAACTGCAGTTCAACAAGGTGTTCAAGAATCTCCGACTTTTATCAACGGAGATTCTATGGTTATAAAACAGCACCAGGTAGCTGACTAATTGTTATGTTTGGTCTTTGAATTCATTCCATAAATATGAATTAAATATTAAATATCTATTCTGGTTTTCAATCTGGTTCCACAGACTAAACTGAGAGAAATTTTGGTAAAGATGCGAAAGAAATCAATCTTCTTTTAAAGATTTGACTGAAGGATTGATCGAATTAATAACTTATGGGTTTCCGTTGTCAACGCAAAGAATTCGATGAACCAAAGTAATAGATTATATTTAGAATATTCAAAATATAACTTGTGAAATATTTTATCACATCCACCAACTTCTGCATGACAATATTCAACGACGCCGATCAATCATTATTGAGAACTGACCCCCATGGCTCTTGAGTGAAGATCAATCCTACAGGTTGATCTACGACAGGTCTAACTGCAAACAAATAACCCAATTATTTAAGAAAAAATAAGACTTATTTACTTCAACTTCCCATTTCAATTGCTGACAGGATGTTTATGTTAAGCTATTTTATTTTTATTAAGAATGCAGATGGATTCACATTCCTTTAAAATGTATGTAGGGTATCTTTTGGAACAATCTTTTATATGACAATTTCATCGAAGTACACATCCACTCAGTGAAAATGGCACTGTTCAGAACTTTATTGTTTGAAAGTCTTCTGGATCTAATTGCATGGAATTTGCCTCAGTTCTCAGTAATCATAATGAATGGAATTTGCCTTTGTTCTCAGTCTTTTTTCATTACTCATCAAAGGATCGTTTCATCCCTATTTCGTATTCAAAGGAACTCTTTCGGGTCTAATAATGCTCAAATTTTGAATTGAGTGGGGCCCTGTTTATTAAAACTCTATTAGCTTGAGAAGAATCCATGTAGTCTCGTTAGATTTTTAAAGTCAGAGCAGTTTGTACAGACCCTTTTTTAAGTTCTTTTAATAAGGACGATTTAGAATTAAGGTAATCGGCAGGGCGCGGATCTAAATTTTCGAAGGAATACCATTTACATATGGGGAATTGATATTTCTCTTGGTAGGTCCCGGTCTCTATTAACTTTGATAAATTTTCTCACTAACAAAAAAAATAGAATTGAAATTCTAAAGTGAAACTATCAAATAACATACTTGCAGGTTGACCAATGTCGGAGATGTTCTTTAGTTGCGTGATTTGTAGATATGTTGTGCGATCAACGGTGAATATTGAGGGATTTTAACCTTGCTCTAGCAAAGTGTTGTGTTCCTTTGTCAGCAAAAATTTAAGGATAACATTTTCCGATACCGATCTCCGAGCGGAAAATAAAATTGCAGCCAAAATTTAATAAATTTTCAGAAAAATATAAAGAGAAGAAAATAATAATATCTTCCAATAACAACAATTTGGATTGGAATTACAAACGATTCTATAGGATGAAATAGCCCTCATAGAGGCAACTCTAGCCCTCATCCCCAGAACGACCCCTGGCTCAGATGCTCAAATTCTTTTCACAAGTCCCCATTGCCGTGAGCTAATCTAGTCGTCGCAGAATTTGATATGTGAAAATTACATATTACTAGATCCTGTATCAAAGCGCTTAGTTACGGGAGAGAATGAAAGAACATGGCAAAGTTGAACTCACCCTTTATCTATTCCCCAGGGCACTTTCGTAAACCTCGCAAATAGCTTAATTTCTGCACTTTTCAATTGTCTTGTCAGATCAATTAAGGAAACAAACATCTGAGAATGTCTTAGATCTTTTTGTGAGTGAATAGTTACCGTGCCAGCTAATTGCCAGTTTGAGGTGCTATTGTTTCCCTAATGAGCTCGCAGGGGAAGAGACCGATCCGGATATTAAGGGAGAAGTATTATTTTAGGAGAATTATGATCCTTGTTAAGGATTACAGGGGTTTGAGATAAACTGGCGCAAACAGCTGTTCAATTTACTTGAGATATACGGATAAAATCGTAATTAGGTTCCTGCTAAATAAAGACGTCAAAAAAAAAAATAAGTTTGACTCACTAAAAATAAATTGCATTAAAAATAAATTAGCCACAAAAGACGTTAACGAACTTTTATCACCGAGAGCTTACATAAGTTTCTTTTCAAACTTCGTATCTTGTGAAGTATGATGGGATTAAATGTGTAAATAATAATTGCGGTTGAATAGATACATAAGAACCACGATTTACAGGGCCACTCAAAAGCCCAGGAGGCATCGTTTTTGGATACCTCGAACAACTGTAGTTTCGATATTTCTATACCCTCCAAGCTGATTGGGTGGGGTTCACTCGCTACGATTGAGTACATATGTTAGATGCCACTTACTAAATGGCTTTCAAAATAATGCAGCTCTCAAAACTAAAAATCACCTGTTTTTTTTCTTTCTTATAGCTCGGTGTTTATGCTAGCTTATAAATCAAATATGACACAAAACTGACAAGATCATCATTTTTTTAGTGACAGAGGCAGTTTCATTTCAAACCCTTCTTGGTCGTTTCTTTTCAATAAGCGAAAGGCTCAATGGTAACCGTTATAATGGGAAGTCGGTCTGACAATCCGTCAAACATCACCCGCCAGGATTGTAGATCAAATCCTAACTAACCCTCGACATATACAAAGCACATCCTCATTCAAATGATATATTACTCATCCCCCAACTTTGTTTCTTCGGACCTGTCAAACAGATGAAGGTTTCCATTGTCTTCGGAGAAAGAACCGCTTTACGTCAAGTCAAACGGAAAAATTGAGAGAATGGCATGATTTAGTTGAAATGCCCCATTGAAAGATTAGTAATCATTTCCTGCACAAACCGATCATCTTCCCGTTATTTTCCTTGGAAATTTTGATCTCTACGTAGTCGCAACTCTCCTTGTATACAGTACAATTATATTTCCCTGGCATCTCATTGACCAATTTTGGTTCGCACCCAATCTCGCAAAGTGTGATTTAGCGAGATAGCATTCCCATATCCTAAGGTATCAGATGTAGACAACTCTTCTCGAATCTGTGGAGGGGATCAAACGGTTTGTTTGAATACCAAACCTTCAATAATCTATTACAATTTTAACTAGTAAACAATTATGTTTCACTAGGGAATAAAAACCTCATACGATTCTATTGTTAACGCATTGAAAAATAATAATTTTTCATCGGTTTCTTTTTTATTTTTTATGATGTTTCTTTTTATTTTTTTTTTTTTCAGTTTCTTATTTTTCAGTTTCAAAAAAAAATTATTTTGCAACTTTCAGTTCTAAGTATAAATATTGCAGCAAATTATTCATTTTATTTCAATCCTGGTTTTATATTCCTCTTTCTTATTACAATAATAGTCTCCTCTATAAGATATAGTCGATACAAACAAACAACATCAAACACCATGTCTGCTCCTGCTACTGCTACTCCAATCCCAACTGCCACCTATGAATCCAAGGAATTAACTCCAGAACAAATCCAAATTATCTTGAATACTGTTCCAATTTTAGAGCAAGCTGGTGAAGTTTTAACTCAAAAGTTTTATGAACGTATGATCGGAAATTATAAGGAAGTTAGACCATTCTTCAATGAAGCTGATCAAAAGGCATTGCGTCAACCAAAGATCTTGGCATTTGCCTTATTAAATTATGCTAGAAACATTCAAGATTTAACACCATTAACTGCGTTTGTTAAACAAATTGTCGTTAAACATATTGGTTTACAAATTCTTCCAGAACATTACCCAATTGTTGGTACTTGTTTGATCCAAACTATGGTTGAATTGTTACCGGCTGAAGTTGCCACCGAAGCTTTCTTAGAAGCTTGGTCTACTGCTTATGGTAACTTGGCTAAATTGCTTATCGATTTAGAAGCCGAAGAATACAAGAAACAACCATGGAAATGGTTTAAAGATTTCAAGATCACAAGAATTGTTAGTGAATGCTCTGATGTCAAGTCTGTCTACTTTACTCCAGCTGATGGATCTCAGATCGGGGCTGCCAAACCAGGTCAATATTTATGTTTCAGATGGACCATCCCAGGTACAGAACATGAGGTTTCCCGTGAATACTCCATTTCCGAATTTCCAAAGAATAATGAATATCGTATATCCGTTAGACATGTTGAAGGAGGTAAAGTTTCCAATTTTATCCACACTGGGTTGAAAGTTGGAGACGTGTTAAAGGTTGCCCCACCAGCAGGTAATTTAATCTATGAAGAAAGTGCTAAGGATCTTGTCTACCTTATTGGTGGTATTGGTATTACTCCAGTTGTTTCGATGTTAGAAAAGGCTCTTGAAGATGGCCGTAATGTCAAATTGATTTATTGTAACAGATCTTCTGAACATCGTGCATTTGCTGATTTGCTTAAGACTCAAAAGTCAAAGTATGGTGATCAATTTAAGATTCTCGAAATCTTTGGAAAAGAAGAACCCGAAGCTGCCATTGAAGATATCAAATTCGGTAGAATTACCAACGAAGATTTAGAATTCATCGACAAAGATAAGCATGACGTTTACTTGGTTGGACCAAGACCATTTATGAGATTTGTTAGAGATTTCATGGATGAAAAGAACGTTCCTGTTAAGTTTGAATACTTTGGTTCTTCTGACCCATAATCAGATATATGTTTAAGAGTTTGATGTCTTTCATGATTTATTTCAATTTCCCTTTCCTTGTATAGTTTGTTTTCTAGTTCTTTATTTAAATAGAATGAATAGATGTTCATATGGTATTTTCGTACACTTATTTTGAATTATAAAGACTGTTTCTATAAAATCGATTCTACAATAATTTGCCAGTTTCGGTTTGCTGCAACTTAATATGAGGTGTATAAATTTGGCCATTCTTTGATATAAATTACCAGGCAACAATATACTGAATAAGGCTTGCTTAACAAAATTGTCTCGAAAAGATTTAATCATTTCCGACTCCACGATTTATTATGTATAATATTTAGCTGTCTTCCCCCTTAAACAAATTGTTCAGGGGAACAATGGAGGTTTTGGGGGGAACTCAAGCCCCAGCAAACAACGTTAACTTAATCATTTCATATAAGAATTATAATTGATCATCTATAGATTCGTCAAAACTTTACCTTGAATTCCCAAATAGGAAGCCTTATTTTCTGACTTTTTTCTCCAGACTCAATCAATTTTCATTTGTCTCATTTATCGTTTCAAATAAACCTAACAGTATTTATTCCATGACATACGATTCTACCATCGATGAAAAACACCATTTACACATCAAATTGTACATAGAGGAACATAAAATATTATATATCTTCATCCCAATCTTGAAGTCATTTGTGAAGTCAGAATATCAACCATTCCAATCCCCTGATGTCCTTCATTTTTTAAATGGATTCCTTGAAACTTAAATATCTAAATATAGTTTGATGGAGAATATTTTAGCGAAGATGGATGATAAGATTCATATCGGTTTCTGGAAAAGACGTCATCATTAAAATTCTGCCGGTCTTCATGTTCACATTGGTTTTTCCGTAGAGAGTCGAATGATTACTTTCATCAGAGACAATCACATCACTTTAACCTGAATTGACAATGGTACAAGCTATTAATCTTCTCTAAAGAAGTTAGAAAAGTACGTCAAGACTTCCAGATTATGATTTGCATGACTATTCTTATAATACGAAATAAGATAGGGTTTTTTAGATGAAATTTTAAAAGAGAACACCATGATTGAATTATCGGATAAGGTTTCATTTCCATGAATTCATTGTTTGGCTTCAATGTAACAACTCCGTGGCCAATTGATCCCCCCAAGAACGTATCGATATTTTTCAGACAGAAGTGATTACGGGGGAAGGTATGAAAGATTTCCTTGAGTATATATTTTCTCAAACCAGCTTGGAACTCAAAGTCTTTTTGAATACTTC